CCTTCCCGCCGAGGGAAGGCTCTGGGCGCTCACCGAGAGGTATTCCATGGCTGTTGTCCTTGGTTTTCAGGCAGTACCGCCACAGGAATGACGGTGTACACGCCTCTGTGCTTCAGAGGAAAGAAGATCCTGGCTCCCATGGTGCGGGTGGGAACGTTGCCGATGCGTCTTCTTGCTCTGGACTACGGTGCTGATATCGTGTACTGCGAGGTATGAGGGATGAGCAGATGAGGCAGCCTTGTCTGGTTACGTTATTATTCACAGAAGTACAGCCAGGCTTTGTTTATTCTATGACTTTTTCCTTTTATGTACCTTTGCTTAGAAAAACGGGGAAAGAAGAATCTCTGACTTAAGGCATTTCCCTTTGGGCAGTGCTCAGGTCATGGCAAACGTATTTTAAGAGTTTCAGTTTAGACAAAGCACTCACCATAGCCATTTCCTCACATTCTGCTGTGTTTTTGTTGGATTTTTGGTTTGTGTTTGTTTTGGGTTGTTTAGTAGATTGACAGTATTGAAGGAAATCTTGGACCTGACAGTACAGCTGTCCTTGGTGCTTAACTGCTTTTCTTAAAGCTGCCTGAAGCTGAGACTCCAGTTTCCTGTAGATATTATTGCTAGGACTTCCTGCAACTCGAGCTGCTTTAGTTTTCACTGTCTTTATTGCAGTTCATCAGTGTTTCCATTTTCCTCTTCAGTGCTGGTGTTAGCTTTTCTCAAATGTGCACACGGGTACAAGTTACACATTTAGCTTCAATAAAAACAAACAGTAAAGAGTTACACATGATGTAAACATGGCTTAACTCCTGGCTTTCCCAGAGGATGTTTGATCTGTATCAATAGAACAGACCAAAACTGTCAGAATCAGTTCTTTATAATGTTCTCCACAGCAGATCTCTTGTGAGTTCTCTCACTGCCCTTTTTGAGGGAAAACAAAGTATTTTTTCTCAGAGACACAATATGCTGGTTTTTTTAATCTTTACCACAGTTCACCTTTTATTGTTAACTTTTAGAATTACAAGTGATATTTAAGTAGTTGGATCAACTTCATGTCAAAGAATGGCTATTACTAGGTCATTCAGAATAAATCTCAAAATTCTTTAGTTACTGCTGTCTGTCATAAAATTTGGAATAATAAGGTGCTTTTCTTCTTAGATAAACAGTAACAGGTTGATGAATAACAACCTCTGTGCTCTAAATGAGATTAAGAATATATATTTTTTCATTCTTGGTGAAGATAAGTACGAAAACTCATTGTTATTATTCCTGTAGCTAGAAACCTGCTGTAGTTTACCTCATCTCACCTCAAAAATAAGGTCTCCTATGTCATTCTGTTGTGGCATTTTTCCACATTGGTGTTGAGAGACAGGAGAATTAAATTGCCTTTGTTGTGGACTAGTGTTTGCAGTTAAATATCTGTCTTAATAGATTTTAACGGGAAAACTATGTTTTGTAGGTTTTCTTAAAAGCTGGCAAAATAGCATAAAATAGAACAGTTCTTTTAGGCAATTATACAACAGTTGTTTGGTAGCAGAGCAGTGTGGATAACTGCAATTTGTAACTTCATTTCTGTGTGCTGTAATCTCATCTTCTGATTTATCCTTCCCCATAAACCCCACAACATTTTGGAACTCAAAGCTCTTTTGAGAACATAAATTAAAAATACTAGTTGTAAACCCTACAATTTAATGTAAGCAGATTGCAATTAGCCTAATTTATTGCTTGTTTATCCCTTACCTATAAACCAGCAGGTCTTAAATTTTGTCTTATTTGCTGAATAAAGAGTCTCTACTAAACTAAACTTTTTTAGGTGACTAACACTACAGCATGATAGTTTTTTTTCTCAGTTTATATAATAGCTGGGTTAACAGCTGTGTATTTATTTCAGCAGCTAACACATTGGATTGAGTCAAGCCGTAGCTGTTTGTCTGTTAAAGGCAGTCAGTTTGGCTTAAAGCTTGTCAATAATTAGTTGATGAGTTACAAATGAGCAAAGGAGTCAAATGATGTTGCTAATAAATTGAATTTCATAAACCTGTGGTTACGTTAATAGCTGAAGTTCTGAGTTTCTTCTAAAAGAAGGCTATAAATTCTGGAAGAATGGCTCTCTATTAAAGGTTAAGCAAAATTTTGTTTTGTTAACAAGTACAGGAAATTGTTAAAACTCAGGATTAAGGTAAAGAAGACTGAAAGTATAATATTGCTGGTTTGTTTCCAATGTGCCTTTATAAACTACAAAGATTTTTGAGGGGGTGGGTTGTTGTAGCACTAAGTTATTTTCCTTTTCTGCTCTAGGAGATTGATTCTGCTTTGTTTACAGCTTGCTAGAAACACTACTCAAGAACTATGCAGTCTTATATTCAAATGTTCTGTTCATATTTTGAGTCTTCAGTTGAGTGTGTTGTATAGTTAAACTCTTGTTGTGGATTATTTTTTCTCTATTTGTTGTCTCTATATACTTTTATTTAGTAAAATGAGCAGCTTTTTAAAGCTGGATAGCTTAAACACTAACTCACTGTGATGTTTTTATTCTTTTCAGGAGCTAATTGACATAAAGATGCTGCAGTGTAAGAGGGTTGTAAATGGCAAGTACAGCATTTTGTTAATATCTGTAAGCATTTTTTTAAACTAGTTGATAAAAGAATTATTTATTTCAGGTAATTTAATAGTATTTACAATAAGGTATAAATTCATATAAGTTCTGTAAACTATGTCTAGGAACTTAAAGTAAGCTTTTGAAACCCTACCCTGTACTTTTCTGCTGCTTCACAGTTTCAAACTTTCAGTTTCTCTTCTTAAGGAATTTCAGTAGTTTAGCCAGTGTCCTTCAAGAAAACCACAAATGTTTTGGGAGAATAAGGCTAATGGACTAGTAATTGACAGTTTATTCTATTTAGGGCCCTAACATGAAGTGTTTTTCCACCTTTTATTTAGTTAATTACAAGGATTTGATTATTTGTTAAACTCTTTGGCAGAGGTCAGGTCACTAGTTGTGCAGGAGCAGGTCTTCTAAAGTGAAAGACTTTATAATTCTAGCTCCTGGACCTAGGTCTTTCTCTTTGTATTAAGAAAAGTGGGATCAGTGTTGGAAGTACATGACTAACATTTCAGTGTTGTGCTTCCTGGTAGTAGATGAAAGAAGTAGTGATTGGAATAGATAATACATTAAAGTTCCAGTGCATTGTCTAAAATAATAAAGGTTTTAGTTTTATGTGGATTAAAAAGACATAGTAAAGTTGTCATCAACAGATAAACCTTCCCCAATTCTGTGTGTATATACTGGCTTCAGTCTCTCCTTCTTCACTGTCTTTGTATGCTATTATAATAAAGAGTAAACAGCAAAAACTGGTTTTGTTTTTTTTTTTCATTGTAGGTTTTTGTTTGTTGTTTGGGTTTGTGGGTGGTGTTTTTTTTCAGAAATTTGACATGTTTATATGCTAATATAAAATTTAATTTCTTGAGCAAAACTGCTAATATTAGTAACAAAGCCTTAAAGATTTTCCAAAAAAAGTTTGATAGTGTCCAAGAAACAAATTCATTTAGTCTGTAGTAGAAACAGTTTCTAGTAATAAGTTTTTATGAACGTTTGCTGTTAGTGGTATTATAATACACAGTTTTTAGTGTACTGCAATAAGGAAGCAAGACACAGAAGATCTTCCTATTTATCATTATTTTATTAATGTGTTGTCCATGGGCTAGGTTTGGCTTAACATGGTTTTCACATACAACTGCATAAAAAGTTGTCTTAGAGAACTCCCCAGTTGAGTGGCATGAGGAACAGTTGTTTGTACTGTCCCTGTTGGGGAAGTTCACTACAAGTCTACTTGCCTCTCCTGCCTCTTCCTCAAGATGGTACCATTGTGACACTTCAGCTGCTTAATCATTTGATCTGGTGCTGATGAAAACAGGCTGGGAGTTGTGTGGGAGGGAAACAGGAGTGTGTAAGAGATACATTGCAAGGACATACAGGAGGTCGTGTGCCATTAGTTCTGCTGTTCATGGGAGACTTAGTTGATAGTCTTTCATTTATATACAACTTGTTTATGGTTTCCTTTATGATTACATTTGTATATAATTTTTGTCTGTTTTATGTTTCACATTTAATCTAGAGGTACTAGACACAGTGGACTTCGTTGCACCTAATGACAGAGTTGTTTTCAGAACCTGTGAAAAGGAGAGGCACCATGTTGTCTTTCAAATGGTAGGAAATGAACTGCAGGCACTCTTCTAATAGCAACATAGTTAAAGTACTGCTAGTAACATTAAGTCTAAAGCAGCTCTGTGTTCCAGACTCTCAGCTTCTTGCTGTAAAATATCGCACAGAACGTGCTGTAGGTTTTCTAATCTGTTGTGACACATGCAGTCAACACAGTAAGCTCTCTGTATAGCTGTTTTCAGAAAGGGTGACTAAGGTTAATTCTATGTTTTATGAAAACACCATGTTTTTGTAATAGGTGTCTTTGATGCCTTTCCAAAAGTGTAGATGCTAAAAATAAATCATGCTGATGTTTGGTCACATGTTTAAGTCTTGCACTGTCCAGTAATCAGTCTCACTGGAAAGACTGAAAGAAAAGTGATTGTTTAGTATAGATAAGAGAGCATTAATGTGTGCACTAACGTTGCAAAAAAACAAGGATGATTAAAGTACTTGAAAATCTCTCTTATGAAGAAAGGCTGAGAGAACTGGGGCTGTTTAATCTTGAGGAGAGAAGGCTGAGAGGGGATCTTATTTATGTCTACAAATATCTATAAGGTGGGTGTCAAGAGCAAGGGGCCAGTCTCTTTTCAGTGCTGCCCTGTGATAGGACAAGAAAAAATGGGTATAGCAAGTTCTACCTCTACACAAGGAAAAACTTCTTTACTGTGAGGGTGACAGAGCACTGGAACAGGCTGCCCTGCCCTGCTCTGGCAGGGGGTTGGACTATGTGATCTCTAGAGATTCCTTCCAACCCCAAACATGCTGTGATTCTATGAGAGTGGACAGACCTCGTGGGTTCTCTCCTAGCATCACCTTTTGTCATTCAGTGGCTGATTTAGTATATGTTTTAGTCATCTGTTGTGCTGTGAATGTGTCTCTGTCACTTTGTACTAAACGTTTAGAAGAAACAGTTATACAGACATGTAGGTGAGCACATTTCATTAATTTGATGATATATTATAATTATAAATACTCTTGTTTTACCAACAGGGGTCAGCAGATGCTGAAAGAGCCCTGGCAGTAGCTAAACTTGTGTAAGTAATCTTTTCTTATCCCTTTTCCATTGTGGGCTTGTTTGAGTATTTTTGTGTACAGAGGAATTATTGTGCAAGACAATTTTTTATGATTGATAGTTTTCAGGTAAGTCTTGATAGGGCCAAGAAAATTTCTGTTGGAGCTGCACAGTAGAGTAGCATCTCAAAAGGACATTAAAATGTCTCCTACTCCTGTTTGTGGTTTGAAGCTCTCAATAAAATATAGTGCAGAAATGAAAAGTGTGTCTCAAACCCTTTTAGAAGGCGTTTCTAAGCCTCCATTTTAAAAAGATGGAAGTTTCATTAGGACTTGCTTTAGTGACAGTGGTGAGTTCAGTGGTGGATATACTTGTATATAATTAGTCCTATATAAACATATTTGAGTATTTGCAGCTTCTCTACATCACTGGTCATTGAAACCTATGGACAGACTGATCTCAGATTGCTGTTAAAATAAATATGTAACCTATCTGAATGAGAAGGTAAAACCTTAGAAGTTCAAATTAAAATATTGACCTTAAATTCTCATTTAAGCCTTAATGACGATGGAACAAGTTTCCTGCAAAGAAGTCTGTTTCCTGGTTCTTGTTCTATTATGTTAAAAAATATTTCAATTATTTCTTCTCTTTTAGAGAAAGTGATGTAGCTGGTATTGATATCAACATGGGATGCCCAAAAGAATACTCTACTAAGGCAAGTGGGTTTTAATTACTCTGCAGTAAGCTTTTTTTTCTTAGAGGGATGGAGGGCAGAATCTGTGTTTTTGGGGTGAACAAATTCAAGCAGTAAAATTTTCATGTGTATAAACTTATGTCTGGTGTTTTGAGGGTTTTTTTTGCAATAAACAAACAAAAGTGTATTGAAGGTGTCATAGCCCTAATACAGTAAAATAACACAGTCTACTAGAAATCTCCCTCAAGAATAGGTTTGGTTATGTAATTAAACATAAGATATCCTTATGTGGGTAAGCATGTATGAAGTTTGTAAGCTCGGGTTAGCCTGAATTTTCACCACTGAGCAAGTGCCAGTTGTGGTTTCTGCCAAGACAACCACTGAATATTGAGGAAGAGGTAGTGAGGTTGTTAAATTGTTTTAGTGTACAAAGTTAACATTAAAGCTATTTAGAACTCTAACAACTCTGACATGTTGTAGAGATTCTGTGATTGTGTATGTTGCATGTAAAAGTAAATTCTGTAAGGTGGGATAAAAAAGTTGATTTTTTGTTTTCCTGAGGCTGCTAATTTGTTGGCTGAGTGAAATGTTTTCTGCTCAGCTTTAATAAACCTATGAATCACAGTTTGTCATCTGAACAAGTAAACATTTTCAACTTGGCAGTGCTAATATCAATTATTGGTCTGTTTTCAGTGGTAGGAGGATGGATCAGTTAAAACTTGATTTTGTAGCTGAACACATGCTATCTATACTAAACTAGTCCTCTATCATCTGTGGCTAAAACAGAGCAGTCAAACTGGTTATTAACAATGTTAAGCCAATTAGTGTAAAGTATCAGTTAATGAGACCATGGAGCACCATTTTGATGACACACATTCCTGCAGAATAGATAGAAGTTTTGCACTTCGTGTCAATGAACAAGAGCTTCAAACTGGAGAACTTCGAACTTCATTCCAGGGAAGAAGTCTGGCTGTTGCTTTTAAACTTTGTCTTCCAGTCTTCATAGTAATGGCCAGCTGGTGCCCTGAATTGCTGCTTCATTATTCTAATGCAGTTCTAAGTAATGTGTTTCACCAAAGCGTTCACTAATACTCCCCTTTTTTTTCTTAATATAACATTGTACTTTTCCTGTGGCCTGCTATTAGCAAAATAATTGAGTTGGTGCCTAGTGTATAACAGTTTGTGTATCTTTTCCCAGGGAGGTATGGGAGCAGCACTGCTGTCTGATCCTGACAAAATAGAGTCTGTAAGTGTATCACCTCGTGGGTTTTGAACTGCCTTGGAAAGTATTATGTACTGTGCTCTACTGAAAGGAGGAGTAAACGCATAGAAGACAAATTTGTAAAAGCTAGAGTGCAATAATCAGTTCTGAATACTGAAATCAACATTATGTATAAATAATCATGCAATAGTTCTTGTTATTGTCTGAACTACAAAATTGCCACCTTCTTCCTTTTCAATATTGAACTTCCACGATGTGGTGCTCTATTTGCAGAGGGAGAAGTTTTACATGCATTTGTATGTAAATCTGTATAAAACCCTATGCTACTCTTCTTCAGAAGAGTAGTAACTTGGTGTTAAAATATTTTAAATTGTTTTTTTCATTTCAAGATGTTGGTGGGCAGCAAAATCTTAGGCATGAAAATGACTCTTAGCCAACTGCAAAGAGATCTAACTATACTTAGAGCCTGCAAAAGACACATGAAATTACAGTTCCATATTGAGTAGGTGGCTCAAGGTGAGACAAATTACTTAATTACTATTCTAAGTATAAGAACTTGTGAGTGCTAGCTATAACAACTCATTTCTATATTGGGAACCTAATAAATGAAGTAACATTAAACAAAATTCAAGCTTCATAGTTTGCACAACTTGGGGAGAAATAATTTACTTGCAATTCCACCCATTTTATAGAAAGGAAATGTGTTCAGAATAACATGCATGATAATAGATCAAAAACCAATTGAAAAACAAGTATTTTTCTAAAACCAATCAGGATCAGCTGGTTTCCACCCTTTTGTTTAGAGAGTTGGATTTCTGGTATCAATTATGGTATAATCATACAGTGATTTAAACAAGTATAGCCTATGACATGGCCCTTTTAAGTATGGTCTGTTGGACTTAAATTCAGCCTGTGGAAAAGATATTCTTTCCATAACTCAGTTCTGAAGTGGTTAAACTAATAACTACTCATTTGTCTGCTTATTCTGAGTTTTAGTGAACAAAATGTGCTTTGTGTGAACCGTCAAATTCAGTTTACAATCTTTGTTTTCTCTAAAAGGTTCAGTGATGATGTTGCTTGGTATTTTCATCTAATTTTTTTCCATTTTGAAGGCTTTCTTCTCTTTAACAAAACATCTTTGTAGTGAATGCTTACATTTAGTTTTTGTAAGAAATTCACAGCTTGATGGTAAGGAGTATAAAAACAGGCATGAAAATTAAAAAAAATTGTACTGTATTATTGTATATAAATGATTGGAGTTTACTGGTCACTTCGTATTAAAAAACAGCATTAAAACTCCAGCAGCATTTAATTGCTTAGTAAAAATCTAGTTTAAAAAGTGGAAATAAAAATGGCTTAAAGTAGACATAAGTTTTTATATCTACCGGATGAAATTATTTACTTAATTACAGACTGCATATATCTATCTAGCATGTAAGATTCTTTATAGAGGAACAGTAACTAGTGTTACATTGTTCTAATTTCTTTGTATATAGAAGGGAGGAGAGCTTTATTAAGTGTCACCATTGTGATCATGTTGTTGTCTTTTTTCTGTTCTTCCCAGATACTGACTACCCTTGTTAAAGGAATTTGTAAACCAGTAACCTGCAAAATCCGCATTTTGCCCTCAGTAAGAGCATCAATTCCCTACATGTTTTTAAACCTCCAGGAGATGCTAGGCCTTCATGTTTAATAACTGATTTATTTATTTTTTCAAATGTGTCTTTAATTACCTGCCTAGCTACTGTGATTGCATATGACCTGGATAGATACAGATCTGTAGGTGTATGAACTGTAATTGGGCTAGCCATTATTAAAAGTAATTTAGACACACATTTAAAATGATTAAATGAACAGATGAAGCCTGTGTGAAAAGATTTTGCTCCTTGTAAGATCATTATGGTTTTTAAGTACTGCAATATTAAATCAAAGAACTGGCACCTCTCCCTTTTATTTTCTACAACGATCCTAGAGCCACTTGCTCTTTGTTTCAAGCTGCTTTTGTATAATATGTCGCCCATCAGAACAGCAGGTGAGCTGCTGTGTCTGCCTGTGCCAGCTGGTAGATGTTGCATTTTTAAAGAAACAAATGTACAGGTTTTGTGATGAGCCACAAATCATTCTCCACCTTTTAAAAGAAAATTTGCCCCTTTTTTTTTTTTTCATTCTTCAAAGCTGCATGAGACAGGCTAATCCAGCAGTGTGCCAGATTTCTTTCTGCCTTTTAATAGCATCTTACCTCTCTGAAGCTACATTAGAGCTACCCCTTTTTCCCCTGTGTCTTTTGATTCACTGGTCGTGTACAAATAATATTAGAGGTTTTAGATACCAGTTAACTTTTTAAAGACACATTTGAAAGGAATATTTATAGATGTGTGATTGCATGTTACATTTATTTCAGAAGGCATCCTTTTAATAAGGTGCATTTTAATTACAATTTACAGAGTAGGTGCTAGAGAAGATTTGTTAATCAAATGTTTTGTGTTATTTTCAAATGACAGTATAAAACCCATTAGAAAATATTCTCCTACTACAGAGTTTTGTGCTACCTGGTTTGAGAAAGTTTGTGTTCCATAGTTTCAAGGAAGTGTTGAGAATGGACTTGCTGTTTTTGCTGTAATACCTTGTTCTTGAAGTGAAGTGTGTATTAAATGAAAATACATGTACGGGAATATGAAAGAAAAGACTTCCAATGTTTGTCTGTGTTATGATCACATGATGGTTATTCCTTTCTCTTTGAACTAAAATCATGTCATTCTCTCTTGCCCTCAGGTTGAGGATACTGTGAATCTGGTAAAGAGAATAGAAAAAACTGGTATTGCTGCCATTGCAGTCCATGGAAGGTAAATTGATTTCAGGCAAGAGAAACTTAGGTATTTATTCTTTTTTTAGTTTGCTGGTGAATGTTGCACAGTAAGGTATGACTAGAGTATACTCTACATGTAATAAGTGGCTCTGATGTGAGCTGTTAAATTGGTGTTGTAGAAAAACAGGGCAGTAATTAGGGAATTGTACCACTTGCTGCTATTTTTCTAAAGTTTTTATCTCAAAGACCAAATAAAACTAAAGTTACCTTGCATGTTCATTAATTTAAAAAATGTTGCTTATCTGGATATGGAATTACAGTAACTGTTTTGAAATGTGTTTGATATGAAATAATTCTCTGCTGCTTAAAAAAAAAAGGAAAATTATCGCAGCTTATTTAATGTATATATTTAATATAAGTATGTCCCAATAATCCTTGAGTCTTTTCTGCTGTGATTCACATATCTACAATTTCCATAGGAAATCTTGTTCTTGTCTTTTGTTTGTTTGTTGGGAAGGAAGAAGGAGGAGAGGCCTCAGCACCCTGTCCGCTGTGATGTGATCAAAGCCATATCTGAAGCAGTTTCCATTCCAGTAATAGCAAAGTAAGTTGGACTGATTAACTCATTACTGCAAGATGCCTGTGCCTAACTTAAGATTTGCAAGTGCAGGAAAAGAATCCTTCCTGTGGAGTGAATACACTGTTACCTGTTACCAAGGACCAAATCTGAAGAGAGGCACCAGTGATAGAAGTTGACCATAGAAAAATTACTATATCTCAGTTTTTATTTTAAAACCTTCATGTACTTTTCAAAAAGTAATGAAAGAAAAATACACTGTAGAAAATACACTGAAAGTTACAGGTTTTGCTGGAATAAGGAAATAATCTATGCTGATAATCTTTGATCCATTTTTCAGTGGTTCATCCCCTATTTAACTTTCAGGGTAAGTTTTTGAACAATATGGATTTAAAAAAAAGCAAGGAAAAAATCACATTATACATTGCCCTGAATCCTTTGTTTCCCTAGGTGAAAGATGAGGCTATTTTTCTTAGATTTTATGCAGCTCTCTATGAGTACTTTCTATGATGTAGAGGTGTGTAATTAAGATAAAAAAATATCAGAGGTTTATTATGGATAAATTGCTTTTAATTAATCCCTATATTAATTTACTTCTTTGCAAGAGTTCCAACATGCTGAACTAAAGTTAGGAATCCTTTTTTTTTTTTTTTCCCTGGTTTCTCTGGGAAGGATATGATCTTTGTTTTAAATCCACAAAGTGAAACCTTTCCTTCTCTAAAGAAGTATAACTGTGCAAATTGGAATCCTATTTATTAAATATATTTGATCCATGGTACTTGATCTCTGCTGTAACTTATTTGGCTATTATTTTGAGTATTTTAACCACTTGTATCTCAAGTTTGGTCAGGAAATACACAGGAATGAATACAAGGAGGTAAGCTGGTGCTAAAAAAAAAGGCAAGGCAACTTGACTTCTACAATGGCTCTGTGTTATAGGATAATCTTTTAGAAGTGCAGGAAGCTTGTGTTTGTCTTCACAATAGAAATGTCTGGTTTTAAAGTTATTTATCATTCTGTAGTTTTTACTTTGAATTTGACAGTGGTTTTACTTTTAAAGGGATAGAGATTCTACTCTTTGTAGTTCAAAAGTCCGACTTTTATTTCACATTTAAAAGTCTTGTGAAAGCAAACTTCAGTAGAAAGAAAAGTTGTGTTCTTTTTGCTCCCAAACACGTCTGACTTGCTGACTTGAAAGAAGAGGCAGTACAACAGAAGCAGTGCAACCTTCTTTCAACTTGAAAGTGCTTTGTAACTCATCCAGTAGTACTGCTTGTGGTTATTCTCCATGTGTTGGTGTCAGAGTAACAATGGAATGATGCTGTCTGTACTTAACTTGTGTTCAGTGTTACTTGTGCCAAGACAGCTAGTGTGCAGATGACTGTTACAGAACTGGCAATTGCAAGGTGTAATTTTTAAAACAACCTGGAAGTGATTCTTTGTGAGCCTTAACCATTTACAAATGTGTGAAAGCACACAGTTGGTGTATAACACAAACTCTACTCTTTCTTCATAAAAACAGTTTTCTATTTTTAAGAGAAAGATGCACGTATTGAATAACACCGTTATCTGTGTTTTAATGAGCCATTGCTAATAACGTTTCTGCTCTTAGATTTGAGATAATATCCCAGAAAGACACTGCCACCCTTGATGACATAATAGCACATTGAAAATGCAAGGCTATGTTGAAGTACATAAAATAGCAAATAAAACTTTCATAATTATAACAGTGATTTTTAATTTTTAGTGGAGGTTCTCATGACTTCATCAAAGAATACACAGACATTGAGACCTTCCGGAAAGCAACAGCTGCCTCATCAGTAATGATAGCTCGTGCTGCCATGTGGAACCCATCTATCTTCAGAAAAGAGGGTCTTTTTCCTTTGAAGGAGGTCATGCAAGACTACATCAAATATGTATGTTCTTTTGGAAGATCTTATTTGTAGTTAAAGTTGTTTAGAATCGTTAATCTGTATCTTACCACAGTACCTTAATTCCTTTTAATTTCGAAGTCTTAGGCTCTGGGTATATATTAAGATACTGCATGTGACAAAAGTCTTGCAAATCACCCACTGCTTCCTGTGTTTTGTTCTGTCAAAAAAAATCAGTAATCTGCATTCATAAGATAGTTTTTCCCCAATTATTCTTTTCTTGAATACTGTGCTTTTTAACCCTAGTTTCTTGGGACGTTAATGAGGTTTACAAGGCTCTCTAAACATGTCTAGGAATTTGAAAAGCTAATACTATGTAGGCCAACTCTCTTCATGTTACATTTGTGCAAATAACACTGAACAGAAGAGTGAGGAAATATTAATACTAGGTTGCCTGTAGATTCATTTTTAGAAATTAATTGCTTTTCACACACTGTCAAGAATTCTTAACTACAGTGAAGCAAAGGGAATGATTTGCCAATAGAGTAATGCTGTGTCGTAGTACTGTAGTTCTATTAGTAGAGTCATCCATTATGTAATGTTTTATCTGTTATTCAAAATACATGATTTTTAATTACATGATAGGAAATTAATCAGAAATCTGTGGCTTTGATCACAACTATTTAAAATTTTTTGGAATTCTGAGAATTTTTACTAGTTAACTAATAAAATACCTCTGCATCCCTAGTCAACTCTTTCTTCATAAGCATACGAGTAAGTTGAACATTGGTTCATGAAAGCAAACCAAAATAATTAGATGATACTCCCATTCACAAGCAGTCTTGAGTATGTTGTTGAAGAAACTGTACCTTGTGGCCTGCCTTTCAAAAAAAGACTTTGAAATTCACTGAGAGATGTGAACATATAAGATAAATCTGTTTGGTGTGGGTTTATACACTTTGTCTCTCTCCTTCAGGCAGTGAGGTATGATAATCACTACACCAACACAAAATACTGTTTGTGTCAAATGTTAAGAGAACAGCTGGAAACTACTCAGGGTAAGAAGCTGCATGCTGCACAGTCCACACAGGATATCTGGTAAGCATCTACTTCAGAAATAGAATTCTACTCTCGGTCAAACTTGCAGACCATTTCTCTGTAGCATTTCATTTCATGAGAAGAAGTTAAAAAATAAATTTTAAAAAATCCAGTTAGTGAGTTGTGGAATAATAGTTTTCTTCAGGTTTCCTCCATGCTCAAGTGTTAAAGTGTTTAACCCTACAACTGTCTATGAACTTGACATACTAATTTTTAACCAGTTTTCTAATCAACCTGTGTAATATCCAGATAACTGAAGAACATTCAGTTGTTTAAAATGTATCTTCAGCCAAAAATGTTACTTAATGCTGCTGCCTTCTGGTGGTGATGGCATGTTACAGCCATTCGAGATGTTAACCTCAGTTCTGAATGCAAGAGAACAGGCTGGTGCATTTCAGACAAAAAAAAATTTGCATAACAGTACCTAATAAGTTGTTTTCTTTTAGCCGCATCAGTTAATAATTAAGCTTAATTGCTTTCCCATTTAGAGCATTGGAGATGGCTTTGTGGTCAGATTTTGTTTTTTTCATTGAACCTACCAATGAGCATTCACATAAGTCAGAAAGTACAAGTTATCTTAAGCTGCAGGTTTTGTTGTTTTTATCATCTGCAGAAAATTTATAGTCTCCATTTTTCAAAGTAAATTTAGCCTGTCATGGGTCTGAAATTTAAAAGTATTTGAAGCTCTTGTCTTTGTCCCAAATCCTAGTTGCTTTCTCCCTTGTATGGGGCTTGTGAATAATACTACGAAGTCAGAAAATCCAAGATTTTTAAGGTTTTTGGATGTTACGGTGTTTATAGTGTATAGAATTCTTAAATAATAAAACTGGAAGAAGAATCTCTTTCCTGCTTTTTGTTCATATTGCCTTTTTGGAGCTGATGCACCATTAGTCACTCGGGCTTTCTTTGCTGATTCATCCGCCTGCAAGTTATTAATTGAGCTAATAGCTTGTACATTGTAGGTCCTGCATTTCTGATTGCTCTGTCTGGGATTTTAAGTTGTAAATTGTATATATAGTGCTGGAAATGGCAGAAGCAGTATAATGTTGCAGTGCAGAATACAGCCATGTTTACATATGATTCTTTGTACATATTTACTCTATTTAAACACAATAGATTTCTATATTTTTCTCTACCATAGTGGGATACAAAAATTTATAATCTGATCTCTAATACAAAGGAACTCTGTTTGAACAGTGAAGTCTTTGAAATGGCTGACTTCTATGAAGAAACAACAGCTATTTTTGAAGCAAAGAAAACATCTTTAGAAACTGAGACAAAAGAAGATGATGAAGTGGAAGATCCAGATGTAATAAAAATGGCTGTTAGATTTGACAAGTAAGCGTGCAACTTAAAATTGTCATTATCTTATATTGGTAAATAAAAATTGTGAATTTGGCAGTGCCTTACACTTACTTGAAAGTAATAATTGGTGTAACAGCTCTGACTGAGTGAATTTTTATGAAGCTATTTGGCTACATCATTACATGTCACTAGCATCACCCCTTTTCCTGAGCTATTTGGGTGTTGTATGATGTTCTTCAGTTTCAGATTTCCTGAGACTCCTTAATTCTCTCAGCTAATCTACAAAAAGTGCTGAGGGATTAAAAAAATTAAAAAGTCCAAACATCTGTTTGTAGCAGAGTGTTGAGTATACAGAGTTCAGTTATTTCTGGTGAAATTTAACTAAGACATAGTAAAAAGCACTGCATAAATTTCATAATACTCTGTTTTTAAGCAGATATATACTTGTTTACAGTCTTCTAAACGTGTTCACTCGTAAGTTATTCCTTGAAAAACTAATTCATGGAGTAATGCACAATGTTATGTTAAGTGATCTTTGATTACAGTCTGTGAAACCTATAGAATTTAGCTGTCACTTTCCATGTTATACCCACCTTGCTATTTTTGCTATGTTTGTTACTAAGTCAGACAGCTCAAGAAGAGTGTGATGTAAAATGCTCCTTAAATCCAGTTAGAATGCTTTAATATTTAGACATTACATGAACCTGACTCCCTGAGTACTGAATAAAGTGGTTTTACAGTAATTCTTTTTCCTGCCAAGTACAAGGAGCTGTAATTCCATGTCAGTAACTGAATCAATGTCTACTTTTCCTATCCTTTATTTGATAACTATACTGTGTCATAACAGAAGCAGCTTTTCTCTCCTAGTGTTTCATCTTACATTTTTTTTATAATAAGTAGTGCTGAACTGTATCTCTGTCTTGTATATTTAGTTAGAATTTTCTTCCTGGAAAGTGTCTTTTCTCTAGTTGTGTTACTATTGGATGTGAATGTTTGGGAAGAATTAATAGAAAAGGTTAGATTTTATTTTAGTTGTTAGACATAGTACTTAAATTATCGAATAAGGAAGCAGTATTTTCCTCATAATTTGACCTATAAAATTGAACCTCGAGGGATAACTGGTAGAAGTAATATAATAAGCAGCATGGTCTGTTTTAAAATAGAACTGTGTGCACAGCTGTTGACTGAAAACTTTTCTGTCTAGGCGAGAATATCCACCACAGATTACTCCAAAAATGTATCTTCTGGAATGGTGTAGGAAAGAAAAGCATCCTCAGCCTGTTTATGAAACTGTGAGTCAAAGAAACCCTTCCAAACCTTCTTGTCCCCCTTGTCTTTGAAATTAAGTATTTCAGGACTCAACATAGGGAAAAATTGTACTTCCCAGTCTGATGTAGTTCTTGAGTAAGCAGCTTCAGAAATGGTAATACACATGTATGAAAATGGCAAGTTATTTTATCAGGAAAAAAAGAGGTTGACGAGTCAGACCTTCAGTCTGGTTTTGATTTGTGTGTGAAAGAAGTTTCTGTAGGTCTAAGGAGCATGTTACATGGCAGTCCATGACTATGACTGACTTTTACTTCTGTGAAGTAAAGAATTTGGATTCAGAATATTTTCTTTGTTGTTACACACTGTTGTAGGTAGTAACTATACTGGGCAGAAGCAACTGCTTGGTTATAGGGGGACATTATTTGGTTTGGTTGTTTTTGTAAATTAAAGATATTTGCAGTTTGGGCAATTTCTTATTTTTTAATCTTAAATATACCAGGTTAAATTTATGGTGTGAATTAGAGTAACTTTAATAGTTTGCTTAATTGTGATGTAAAGATGAGAATAAAAAGGAACTTTGACAGTGTTGTTGGTTCTGTAAATGACATGACTGTTTTTTACACTTTCCTCCCTTCTAAATCTTACTTTTTTTCCTCCAGGTTCAGAGACCACTGGATAGATTATTCTGTTCAGTAGTGACTGTAGCTGAGCAAAAGTACAGATCTTCTCTGTGGTAAGTGATCCTTAATGGTTTTTTTGCAGCTGTATTGTCATGGTTTCTGAAATACTGCTTAAAACTTGCAATTAAAGGGTTATTCTAGTTTATTCCAGCTAACTTTGGGAAATGTCAACGAAAAGCTACATTCTAAAGCTACTTCTGGGAGGGCCAAAGGATTAAAAATTTTTGAGAATTGAATGTGACAAGAGGAAGTAAGCCTTAGCATAATCAAGTAAACCGTTCCAGATTTTAATTCACTTAGTAGATTAGTCAACAAATTGTATTGGAGACGGAGCATGAGGTGACCTGGTTCAATTGTCTCTATGAAGAGTTCAGAAACTAACCAGGGGAGGCAGAGGGAAATGCTGAAGGATTTAATGTCTTCAGCCAATACAGCAGATCCATTCTCAATAACAAGTCAGGATTAAGTGTCTATACACAGTGAAGCAGAGGACAGTTTAGTGGCTTCTCGGAGATCACAGTTAACAGTTACATCCAGGGCTGCTCTACAGTTTCTTGCTAGTATTTTATACAGTCATCTGTTCATACTGGAATTGACTTCAGGCATTTGCATCTAAGCTAAACTTGATTTAACTGCAAAGCTCGAGCTCATCATTGAACATTTTAAAGAGGACAAATGCACACAAAAGTTACTGGTGTTTGCAGAATTCTTGTTCAGAGACTTTAGTAAGTTAAACTCAGATAAATTGAAACTTTGAGAAGAAAATGTTTTCGTACATTGAATTTCACAAATGTGTGATCTGCAGTCACTCTTGGAAATGACAGTTTTTATTATTATGGAAGAGTTCCTGCTTTTGTCAATGTCAATAAACCTGTGCATCTACCAGACATTATATTTGGGCCTGAGTGTCTTTCCAGAAAGTGATCCAAAACTCAGTTTTGTTTAGTGATCATATTTGTAAAAGTTAAATTTCTAAGGATTGAAACCACTTGGGCCAAACGTGTTGACTTCCTACCTTTGAAAAGGAGAGTGTTGAGACACAAGACCTGATAGAAGCAGATTTTCTAGGAATATTACATAAGGAGTGATGCCTCAACATTGACACCTGGCAAGATTCAGATTATTTCTGGAACTGACCTCTTTTGTTCTTCTGCTGTGAGATGACTACAAATGCTGTTTGTTTCATGATGTTGCATGAGAGAGGAAATTGATTGTCTTGGCAGAGTAGAGACTTCATTTTCTGCTTTTATCTGTGCTCTGTCTGCTTGCTCTTCAGGGACAAGTCAAAGAAACTAGCAGAGCAGGCTGCCGCTATTGTCTGTCTGAGAACATTGGGTGTCCCAGAGGGAAAGCTGTGTGAGGGAGAAAATCACCTTATTAATAAACGCAAGAGGGAAGACCAAGAGTCCTTGAATAACAGAGACCGTGAAGAAGATGCTGCTGAGCCTTCCTTTAAAAAAGCTAATTTTATTGAAGAAGCTTCAGACATGAATGTGCCTAAGATGCCACGATAGCATGGAAATTAGAGGTTTCCTGCCTATGCAGTCAAAGATTAGCTCCTATTTGTATATCTTGCTGTTCACATTTCATTTGGATTCTCTCCAAGATGGATAAATTACCCGGTTGTGAAAATTGCCAATGAGATGTTTACGGTTCACCACTCACTGTCCCTATGGTGCCTTTCAGACAGGATAAATCAGCAACTTGATTTTAGAGAACATGGAGAAGATTACCCCAAATAATAAATTTTTTTAAAATATCAGGTATTTTCAAAGCAATTTTGCCATTTGTTTTGTTACTTGTGTTCTATTAAGAAGTCTACAGTGTGTTGGTAAGAGGTGTATGACTGCATAATCCATAAGCAGATGGATTCATTATGGAACTATGTAGATATTCAGAAAAATTAATATGGGGAAATATTAGTAGCCTATGAAATAGGGAAATATGGTTTTGCCAAATGAATTTCATGCATGTCTTGCAAGCTTAATTTATACCTGTCATACATCAAGAACAAGGTTCTGCAGAGAGGACTTAGCAGTTAAAACAGTAAGCATGAAAATAACATTAGTCATTTCTACTACATTTTACCCCTCAGAAGTAAGACAGTAGAGTTAACTATTCTTTCCTGGTCTTATAAACTACACTTGTGCCTTTCCAATAAGGATCTGGAGCCAAGCCTTGTAGCCATGAATTTGTTGAATGAAGGCACTTTGAGCTGTTTTGTTCTTTTGAACCTGAAAGCTGTACTAAATATCCACATGTATGTTGCTTGCAGCATACGGCCTTATATGTTCTTGAAATGTGATCTGTTTGCCTCATTATTTAGCTGTTAGTGATACTGGTGGCCTTAATCAAAGGCATGTGTTCTCTTCTTAATTTGCCATCATCTTGACTTCCTATTAAAGTAAACTGTAAGTACATGTTACAAGCCAAGAGAGGATGCAGACCCAGTCTGATTACATGGTAATCCAGCTGAACTTGTCTGATTTAAATTAGATTTTTCAATTCCCAAAATAATGTCTTCATGGATTAAGAGAATTCAGGGGTTTCAGTTATTAATGGTTTATTCAAATGGTTGTTTGATTTTCCTCAACAAGGTTGTGGGATCTTCAGATTACCAGCTCTGGTCTGAAAACAAAATAACATCAAGCCATGATCTCTAAAGTATTTTGTAGAGGGAACAGGAATATAATTAATTTCTTTGTAGTTCATAGTCTTCCTATATACAATTTTGAGTCTTTTTCCTCAAGTAACAGTGCCAGCATTAAACCATTCTACAATGGAAGAACAATATCTCACCAGGTAATCTTCATACTTGTGAAAACAAATAGATGTTTATTAATATTTAAAATGTGTGCTGAGTAATTTTTAGTAAATCTATACAGTTTAAGTCATCTTCTTGCACATTTTGTACATTGCACTAAAAGCAGTTAAATATACATAGATTTGATACATCTTTGCTGTTAGAATTTTACTCATAAGCAGCAAAGGGATTTGCAGTATTAATCAGGAAGTATTAATCAGTTCAGAATTAGCCACTTTCCTATTGTGATTGTTGTCTAAATATCTTGGTTTCGGCAGGATTGTTTGGAGCCATCATGGAATAACAGAGCAATTAATTCCTGGACTTTCAAGTTCCAATCATAGAATCATAGAATGTTTGAGCTTAGAAGGGACCTCTGGAGACGATCTGGTCCAACCCTGCGCTCTAAGCAGGGTCAACTAGAGCAAGTTTTCCAGGACTGTGTCTTGCTGGGTTTCTTGTATCTCCCAGGATTGAGGGTCCATGGCCTTTCTTGCCAACCTGTTTTGTTCTTACAGTAAAAAAAAATGTTGTATTTTTCTTGTTGTATCTACAAGGAATATCCTGTGTTTCAGTCTATGCCCATTGTCTCTTGTCCTGCTACTTAGAAGAATCTGGCTTCATCTGTTGTCATCATTGTCCATCTTAACTTAAAATTGAATCTTTGGATAAACCCCAGTTATTGATGGTGGTGCCTAGTATAGTGCAGATTTGTATGTCAGCAATTACTATGTGTTGGTGGAAATTACAGTGTGGGAAATTCAGTATAGAAGGCAAGACTTTCATAAGAGTGTTTTTACCTGTTCTGTTTTCCTCCTGATGTTCTGTCACATGTTGTGAACATGTAGCCTTCATGCTTCTGTAGCCTATTTAGAGTTCTGACATGGTTTCCTTCCAACAATTAACTGAAAATGCAATTCATGTATTTATGGTGAGAGAGGTGACTCCAGTGGCAGTTGAGAAAGTGTAAAGTTTGGTTTTATGTTGAGCAGGTGAGCAGATTTCTGCAGCATGCTGGCAAAAATGGACATGGAATGAACTATAGTTAAAGCTAGATGCCTAAAGAGGTGGTATGAAAATCCAAGAATGTAGTTACTTTACTAGTCATCTTTTGTTACAGAATATGTGCCTTGGTTTGGTTGTTTGAGGTAATTGAATAATACTGGATATTTAGTTCTCCATAAGCTGAAACAAATAGTATGTTGTTGCTAATCTGTGAAGTATTGTGTGTATGTTAAATGGGTGCTAAAAGTTGTAGGGAGTGTTTTCTAGGAAGTGCATGTTTTCAGATCCTTATTTAAATTATTATATGGTCACCAATGCTTACACTCTTAATTAATTGTAGCAGCTGTATAAATTAATGAGGTTGTGTGTTGGATGGCCAAACAGCATATGAAAATGGGAATGAGGAGTCACTCATTAGGAATGAGCATTCAATGATGCTAAATATAGAAGGGCTGTAAATTCTGGCAAATGTCTAGAAAGCATAACATGTTTTACACCCTTGCTCAGTTTTTAAAAGAAAAAAAAGCTGCGATTTTGGTGTGTGTGCATGTCAGAATGTTTTGCTTTAACGACTTTGTATTAAATGCTTTTAATTCCTCTTAACTCTATTACAACTAATGTGTGGCTTCCTGACTACATTAATATTCGATTCATCCTAACCAGTTCTACAGAAGGGATAGTTGTATTTGCTGTGTATGTTCCCTCGTTAGCACTGGTTTTAGAGTAGTCACTTCAGTGTCCAGTGTTTTCCATCTAGAAATTGTTCTATGCGCATTATTAGCTTTAAAGAGCAACCTGTGACTCGTCTGTGGGAGTTTGTCCTGTGCTTCTCTTCTGCTGTATCTTCCATAAACAGAAGGGGGCAGGTTTTTTGGTTGTTTTTAGAGAAACGGTGGCTGCTGCTGCTGCAGTGCTTAACGATCCAGGCATTGCACTTCTGCGTTCTTGCAGAGGGTGGCAATTGAGACCGCAGTTGGGTTGGAGGATAGTTATTCTCATTTTTCAGAAATGTTTATTTTTGATGTGGTGTGAATATGCTACTTGCTCAATAACCAGAGATGTGCTCTGTTTTAAGTATTTGCTTAGTGAAAATGTTTCACTGCTAGTCCTATGGAATTCAGTGAAGCAACTTTTTCTATCACAAGACTACAGCAAGCAAACAAAAAACCAGTTGTGGTTTGTTTCTTGGTACTGGTTTATCGATGCTGATGCTGCAGAAACTACACCAAACAATACCTGCCAGAGTGTGATCCGTGGGCACGGGGACAACTGTGACTTGTCTTTCTTGTAGTCTACTTGTACTCTGTATATTAGAAACATGAATGAGAATGCAAAGATATTTTTACTAGCCTTTTAGCATGGATGCTCTCACTGTGGGGCTACCTCTGGGGCCTTGCTGGTTGGAATGCTTTTTGGAATGTCCCGGGCTCCCAGCCCAACCCCACCCTGGAATGTGAGGTTAAATGTTGGCGGCACAAATACAGAGTTTGAATATCAAAATCCTAGAGTTCCCCAGTACTGCAATTTCAGAAAGCTGGCAAGTGAACCACATGTCAGCTCAGCTGCTTTCTGATTCAAAGAGTAGGCATGCCATGGGTTGCTGGGGGAGGAGGGGTACGTAGGATGTTTTTTGTTTTGGTTTGGTTTTTACTTACCCGTTATGATGTACAGAAGGGCATGCTTCTCAAAGACGTTAACTGGCAAGATTGCAGGAAGACCCAAACAGGTGTTAGCTAGAAAGAAGTCTTCATTCACAAAAGTATTTTCTCACCACTTCTTTAGTCAAACCTAGAAGCTCAAAATATTTGAGAGCTGTTTTCTTATTGGACAGGAGTTTATGTTTGGACTTCAAGTCAAAAAGCTATGTTGATGAGATGGCCTGTAAAGCTAAAGTTTCCATCTGTACCACAGTGCAGAAGGCCAATGTTTGAGGCTTTTATTAAGAGTTTATGATGACAAAGCTGATGAAAAACATTAAAAGCAAGAGGCAAAGTCTTTGGTGAGGAGAGAGTGCCTTGTGTATTGTTTAGTAGCAGTTGCTGGTCAGTTGAGAAGAGTTGATGAGCTCCAGGGGGAGTCTAGTCCAGTCATCCTTACTCAAAGGAGTATTAACCTCACTGTTTTTATGAGAAGATGCTTAAAAAGTAGGCAACATTTGTGTTGTTCACTTAGCTCCCAAATGAAACTGTGTTGTAGGAGTTAATGTGAATCTGCCTTTTAAAATATCTATTAGATAAATAAATACTTTACCCTGACATGGTGGGAGAGTTTTTGTTTTCCATTTTTAGAAAGTTATTGTCTGATAGATATCCTCTTGTGAGAGTTTAAAAAGCACCATAGTATAAATCCGACACTTTACTCATTTTAACTTGATTTTTCTTTATAGACTTAATGTTTGTTAATGCTTCGGTGTGTCATTGTTTGATACAAAAAAATGAGCTTCCTGTTTAACTGCCTTTAAAAATTACTGCTTTGTGATTGTAACTGAAGTGGTTGTAATCTAACTATAGTTATAAATGTGGATTTTTGTAATAGTATTCTATTGTATAAAGCTGACAAAACTGGATTTGAGTACAGATTTTCAGTCTATGACTTTTAGCTGTTTTAAAACTGTATATACATTTTATCTTTCCTAATAAGATTGTTTGTTGATTTGCAAATGTATCTGTGCAGTGGTAGGATGCTGCATGTGCCACTGTTGTGTGCACAGGTGTTAGCAAGGATTGTTAGCATTTGGTCATGTTAAACTTCTTGTAACGGAAACTGATAAAATGGTTTCCCTTACTGTGGTCTGAGAAAAGTAAGAGCTACAAAGATATTAAACTAAGAGAGAGTACTTTTTTAACCTTTATTTCAAGTGTTGGAAAACATCCTTTTGAGGTGTGACAAATAATTAGGCTCTCATCAAGCTTCTCAGTGACTTGTGATTTGATTCAGTGCACACCCATTTGCTTAAGAAATTAACTACTG